AATATATAATGATATTTATATTTTTCTTTATTTCTCTCCTATCTGATGCCTGTTTCAGGTGCAATAGTGTGACAGCAGCGCCACTGTGTAAAGTGGAAGTGGCTCCAAGGGCAAGCAGGGTGACTGGAGTATGTAGAGCAGCAACACTGCTTAGGAGGAGAGCAAATATATAATGATATTTATATTTTTCTTTATTTCTCTCCTATCTGATGCCTGTTTCAGGTGCAATAGTGTGACAGCAGCGCCACTGTGTAAAGTGGAAGTGGCTCCAAGGGCAAGCAGGGTGACTGGAGTATGTAGAGCAGCAACACTGCTTAGGAGGAGAGCACTGCATGCAAAACAGAGTGGCTGGAGGGTTTCTGCATTGAGCATTACTCCTCCTTCTGCATCACTGTATTGCCTTTTGCTGTGATTTCTCAGTCCTCCTGGATGGGACAAACCTTTTTCAGATCTGATTGCAGAGCACAGAAATCCAGCTTCCTCCTTCACCCTCTCCTCCAAGGGCCTCTTTCCCATCCCAAAGTTCCTCAAGGTTGAGAGTGTGAACTTCCTTAGCTCCTTCCACGTGTGCCCGTATCTTGCTATAGCAATCCCTGGAATTATGGATGAGCAAATGTCAGGAGCTCTGACCTGGACATCAAGCAAAGTTCACTGGAGAGTAGCAAATGTGAGTTTGGGGCTACAGGTCTGTGTGGACAGATGAAAATCTGACCTTGTGCAGCTTGTTCCTAGGGCAATGCTAAAAACTGATCACTGCACCTTCCAATGCACATGCGTGGCTAGCAAAGGGGGAGGGGGCTTCAGTGGGAGCAACAAGTGCTGCTAAGGATAAAGGGATCAGCACCCAAACCATTCAGCACTGCACCCTTAGCTGGTGTGAACTGGGCAGCAGCTTGTGCCACCCCATGGGAGCCGAGCTGGATGCTGGGCAGTGACCAGAATAGAAGAGAATCGTAGAATCCTTTAGGCTGGAAGAGAGCTCCAAGATCATCAATCCAACCATCAAGCCAACACTACTGAGTCCTCTGCTAAAACAGATCAGAATCTGTCAGGGTTGGAAGGGACCACAAGGATCCCCCAGTTCCAACCCCTCTGCCATGAGCAGGGACACCTCCCACTAGATCAGGCTGCCCAGAGCCTCCTCCAGCCTGGCCTTAAAGACCCCCAGGGATGGGGCCTCAACCACCTCCCTGGGCAACCCATTCCAGGGTCTCACCACTCTCATGGGGAAGAACTTCTTCCTCACGTGCCCGAAGACTGAGCAGAGGGACAGGAGAAGGCTGCACTGTACTGAGAAAATCTCACACCTACCCACCACCCCCCAGCCCTCCCTGTGCAGGAGGTGTCTGGCTCCAGGGGATTTACCTTCAGAGTCCCTGCCATAGCCCAGGTGCTCGTACATGGGCAGGTAGGGGCGGTCAGCGAAGTCCTCTGCCCGGTGCACCAGGGCCTCCTTCACCACCCTGAACCCGTTCAGCACCACCACGTTGGTCCAGCAGTTCTGGAGGTGGAAGATGTTCCCGTATTTCTTCTGAAGCTGCCGGGAGAAAAAAGCCCATCTGTGATAATGAGCTGGACCTGCTATCAGAAATACCACCCCAGCCTTCCCTGGGGCCTTCCGGGTCTACTTTTGGCCTCCTTTTTCTGGGAGGACTTCAGCTCTTCTTTGACCTTTGTCTTTGCGTTGCGACATCCCAGAGCAGTGCCAGACTGCAGCTGGAGCAGGGAGCAGTGCTCTGGGCAGAGAGCTTTAGGATACACCCCTCCTGCCCAAACTTGCCAAGACCAGTGTCCAAGTATTTTGGATTTTATCTGCCAACACGAGGTCGAGGACTTTCTTGGGGATCTTTCAAAGGCTGCATGTTCAAAACAAAATTATTTCCCAATACTTGTATTTATTTTGATTTGAAAGGCTAGGCAGGTTTTGAGTTAGTCTGCTCTTGCTGGAAGGCAGTATTGAGAAGGTGGTATGTAATTCATTTATTCTTTTTCTTAATCTGCATTTGTTCCTGAAGATCTACCCAGAGCCTGGTTCCCAGAAACACATCTGAAGAGACAAGTCCACACTGGAGCCAATTTTCTCCCTAAAAGGAGTGTCCATGGCTGGGGAGAGTGGCAGCTGGCACACGCCCTGCAGCTTCTGGCACCCCTGAGACGTGCTGCTGGCAGCAGGGGGGTGCACAGCCACGGAGCCTGGCAGCCCTGCCCTCCCCGTGCCAGCTGGCCACCGAGCTGCCTCCTCCAGGGCCGAGCCCTGTGATGGGCAGAGCCCAGGGAGGCAGGGGAGCTCCCCTGCTCTGGGGGCACACTGTTGGTAGTCTCACAGCAGCACTGCCCTGCTCTGCTTCTCTTCTTTTCTGTCTTGTGTTGTTTAAAAGGCCTCGTGCCCTCATTTCTGCACCGTACCGAGGGAAGGCACTGAAGTGTTTAAGACAGTTTGCAGTGGGGTTGGAAAGGGAGTTAGCGTTGCACTGGCACTAGAAATACACCATTAAACGTGATTGCTGGTCAAGATGAGCGTGACCCTGACGTGATGTCATTTGAAAATGATCTTTTGGACTATAGACAAGCAAATAAATCAAATGCTGTGTTTAGTTTCTCCATTTGGCAGATTCTGGACAGGCAGCTGAACTGTGCCAGCCTGGAGAAAAGGCCTTTAGAGTCTGCAGCCCCAAGCACAAAGCCCCTGTGGTTTGTCTGCTGCGAGCTGTGCCCCCTGCTCCGTGCTCCCTGTGCCCTCACACCCACGCCTGCAGGGGGGCTGAGCTGCTGGGCAGCTCCACAGCAGGGCAGGGGTCACCCAGCGCTGGGGGCGTGGTGAGCCTTGGGGTGCTGTGAGGGGCACAGGCCAGGTCAGTGTCCTCAAGCAGTCACTTCATCCTGCCAGCAGGAGAGGGCACTGCCCGTGGCCTCCGGGTGCCCTGGCTGCCCGGGGGGGGCACTCACCTGGCCGAAGGAGCGGTGGGGCCTGCGGAAGTCCACGTGCAGCATGGTCCCCAGGAAGGGCAGCGAGGGGGGCCCAGGGGGGCAGCGGCTCCACCGCCTCCCACGCTTCATCAGGTCAACCAGCAGCACGAAGACCGTCAGGAAAACTCCCAGGAGAGAGATGTTGTTCCAGCAGGAGGACAGCTGGGAGCCCAGCCACAGCAGCAGTGACATTCTGGAGCCCGTCTGCTGCTTGGTCTTTCTCTTTTGGCCCAAGACAAAGTTTCCACAAGAAACCAAGCAAGTTTCTGCTGCTCCTCTCCTCTCCTCTCCTCTCCTCTCCTCTCCTCTCCTCTCCTCTCC